GATGTTTCAATGCAACACAAGCTATACAGATGTATATTACAGCCATATAAGGGACGCGGGTGGCGCTGTGGGTTAAACCACAGAGCCTAGGACTTGCTGATCAGAAGGTCGGCGGTTTGAATCCCCGCGACGGAGTGAGCTCCGTTGCTCGGTCCCTGCTCCTGCCCACCTAGCAGTTCGAAAGCACATCAAAGTGCAAGTAGATAAATAGGCACCACTCTGGCGGGAAGGTAAACTGCTACTGTAGTGGGGCGAGGGAGGTATGGCGGTGGGGGCAGATGTCATAGGCGAAGGGGATGGAGATACGGATATGCTCGTACCCTTTCCAATCTGCGCCCCATCCCGAGGGACGAAGGTAGGGTGAGCAAGGATTACTCACCTCCGTCACTGGTGTTGTGCAATGCCAGGTCTATAGGCAACAAAACCGCCACCCTGCGAGATTTCTTCTCCTCGCAGGGAGTTGACCTGGCTTGTGTGACGGAGACCTGGGTGCGCGAAGGGGAAACTGTTACCTTACGAGACATGGCGCCCCTGGTTTACACAGTCATCCACCAGTCGCGGACTGTGGGCCGGGGGGGGAGGGGTGGCATTATTAATCCGGGAAGATTGTTCTTTCAGGGCTCTACCATCGCCATCGATCCCCGGCATTGAATGTGTTGGCCTAGTGTGGGGCTCCGAGGTGAGCTTGGCTGTCTGGCTGGTGTACCGGCCACCTAGCGCACCAGCAGCCACCCTGTCAGGCCTGCTGGAGGCGGTGGCCGGCTGGGCCTTGGAGTTCCCTAACCTATTGGTATTGGGGGACTTCAACATCCATGCTGATGCCACTCCCTCCTCACAGGCTCTGGACCTGGTGTCTTCCATGGCGACACTAGGGCTCTCCCAGTTTGTTTCGGGCCCCACACATCAAGCAGGCCACACGCTGGATTTGATCTTTGGCGTCGGTATAGATGTGATCATGTCTCCTTCGATGAAGGTGCCATGGTCTGATCACTACGCTCTGAAAGCCAGGATTGATTTTCCACCCCCACCCTGCTTAGGTGGCGAGCCAATTTGGGCTCGCCCGCAGAGGCTGATGGACCCTGATAGATTCCGTCAGGCCTTGCGGGACCTTGTTCCCCCTGGCGAATCATTGACTGAGCTTGTTGAGGGCTGGAATATCCAGCTCCTAGCAGCCATTGATGAGATCACACCTAGGCGCCCTCTGCGACCCCGCAGAAACCGGGCTCCCTGGTTTACCGAGTAGCTTCGGAAAATGAAGCGGGACCTTAGACGGCTAGAGCGAGTATGGCGGGGTGCCCGTGACGGAGCCTCAAGAACATCTTATAGGGTTTTTATGAAAACCTACGAGATGGCAGTGAAGGCCGCTAAGAAGTCCTACTTCTCGGCCTCCATTGCCTCCGCTAGCTCTCGCCCGGCGCAATTATTTAGTATAATTAGGTCTTTAACGTCCCTTGAAGGACAGCCAAATTTAAATAACAATTTGACACACAGCTGTGAGGCATTTGCGAGCTTTTTTGCGGAGAAGGTCCTGTTGCTCCGCCATGACCTCCCTGCCAATTTGGATACAATAAAGGAACTGGAGGCCCCTCGACTGTCCTCGGGTCCAGTATTGGACCACTTTGACCGGATATCCCCAGCCGATGTGGACAGACTCCTCCGAGCTGGAAAGCCCACCACCTGTCCTCTTGACCCGTGCCCGTCTTGGCTGATTAGAGCGTGTCCAGACGAGGTGCGGGCCCCTGGGTGATATCATCAATTTGTCCCTTGGCACCGGGATATTCCCAGGGGAACTGAAGGAGGCAGTGGTGCGTCCGCTCTTAAAGAAAACATCATTAGATCCCTTAGATCTATCCAATTACCGCCCGGTTTCGAATCTTCCATTCCTGGGTAAGGTGATTGAGAGAGCGGTTGCTGAACAGCTTGGTAGGTTTCTGGATGAAACATCGGCTCTCGATCCATTCCAGTCCGGCTTCCGCGCTGGTCATGGGACCGAGACGGCTCTGGTCGCCCTAACAGATGATCTCCGCAGGCAGCTGGATCGAGGCGGGTCGGGGCTGCTGATTCTTCTAGACCTGTCAGCAGCCTTCGACATGGTCGATCACGAACTCCTGGACCACCGCCTTGCCGACGTGGGGATCCAGGGCACAGTCCTTCAATGGCTGCGCTCGTTTCTCTCTGGTCGGGGACAGAGGGTGGCGCTTGGGGGGGAATTGTCATCGCGCCACTCCTTGGTGTGTGGAGTGCCTCAGGGTGCGATTCTCTCCCCGATGCTTTTAACATCTTTATGCGCCCCTCGCCCAGCTTGTCCGGAGTTTTGGGCTGGGTTGCCATCAGTATGCCGATGACACCCAACTCTATCTGTTGATGGATGGCCATCCTGACTCGGCCCCAGACACACTGACCAGATGTCTGGAAGCTGTGGCTGGATGGTTACGTGGGAGCCGGTTGAAGTTAAATCCTTCGAAGACAGAGGTCCTCTGGCTGGGACGGGGCGATATGGGATTGAGGGGCAACTCCCATCTCTTGCGGGGGTGCAATTAGTGCCAGCATCGTCCGTTAAGAGTTTGGGTGTAATCTTCGATACCTCCTCTCTATGGAGGCGCAGATTACAGCTATAACAAAGGCGGCATTTTTTCATCTCCGCCAAGCTAAGCAGTTGGCTCCTTATCTCTCTCGCCCTGACCTAGCCACTGTGATCCACGCGACGGTCACCTCCAGACTGGATTATTGTAACTCGCTCTACGTGGGGCTGCCCTTGAGACTGACCCAGAATCTCCAGCGGGTGCAGAATGCTGCGGCGAGACTCCTTATGGGGTCTTCGCTGCGAGATCATATTCATCCGGTACTATACCAGCTGCACTGGCTCCCGGTGGAGTACAGGATCAGGTTTAAGGTGCTGGTTTTAACCTTTAAAGCCCTATACGGCCTAGGACCCTCGTACCTACGGGACCGCCTCTCCTGGTATGTCCCACAGAGAAATTTACAGTCTGCAAATAAAAACATCCTGAAGATCCCAGGCCACAGAGAGGTTAGGCTGGCCTCAACTAGAGCCAGGGCTTTCTCGGCCGCGACTCCAATCTGGTGGAATGCTCTGTCACAAGAGACTAGGGCCCTGCAGGACCTGACATCTTTCCGCAGGGCCTGCAAGACAGAGCTGTTCCACCAGGCCTTTGGTCAGGGCGCAGCCTGACCCCCTCCTCTGGCAATCTGCACAGAATTTTGCTTAATGGTTGCCATCAATTTGATTTTAATTAATTTTATAATGAATGTTTTTAGAATGCTGGATTATTTTGATTGTTGTTAGCCGCCCTGAGCCCAGCTTCGGCTGGGGAGGGCGGGATATAAATAAAATTTATTATTATTATTATTATTATTATTATTCCGTGTGCTGCTCTGGTGTCGCCGGCTTAGTCATGCTGGCCACATGACCCGGAAACTGTACGCCGGCTCCCTTGGCCAATAAAGCGAGATGTGAGCCGCAACCCCAGAGTTGGTCACGACTGGATCTAATGGTCAGGGGTCCCTTTAGCTTTACCTTACAGCCATATAAACTAGAGGCGAATTTCAAATAACATTTCCCACCTCTGAGACTGTTGTTCTTAAATCTCCACCATTCAAAAACCAAGAAGTTTAGGTCATTCTGCATTACTTCTGTGCTGCTTTTTGTGGACTACTGAAGCAAATGATTTGGCAGTTATTTCCTGATGAAAATTATTTGGGCTGCTGTTTGTTTGTTTGTTTGTTTGCTTGCTTTCTTGCTAAATTATCAGCATGTACAATACGCACGGGGTGGGGGGCAGTTGCCCCTCCTGGATTAGCTATCATCTCTGGATTCCCAGATTTCTTAATGAAATGTTTTTTAGAAAGCAACTCTTGACATCGTAGAACCTAAAATAATTGGCAAAATATGCAAGAACTATAATGCCCATTCATTTTGTAACAAACTAACCTATTTCCGAAAGTCAATGTGTTTACCCAACGAATGAAATTATGGTAACGACTAATATCAGGAAAGCAATTGGCCAACTAATCACTTGAACAAAGAGAAGTTGAGAAGGACACACCCATTGTCCAGAGAAGAAACTTATTGACTCATTTTATAGCCATTTTTGGTCTTCCCTGGTAAAGTAATTGCTGCAATCTAGCTCAAGTGTTATTACGCCACTATCCCCAGCTAAACAGGTGCACAACACAGTCCTGAACTGTAGTCCAGTGTTGCTCTGTGTTCAAATTTGTTTTAGATGGGGCAATCAGGCCAGGCTACTGCTTAGCCTCCAGACCTACCAGAAATGATAGACCTGTTATCTGATGCTAGTCGTATTTGGTTATGTATTTGCAGTATTTACTTATTCCTCCACCCTGCAAAAAAGCAAATCCTGGGGATCCCCCATAAGCATATTGCTCAAAGTGGCTCTTTCTGCTATAACTGCAGACTCTAATATAAGCTTTTCTTCAGATCAGGGCTATGAATTGTTCTAGTGACCAGTTGGCCAGAATTCACGTGGGCCTTTTTCTGCTGAGCAGGCTGTGCTTTTAGAAGTCTTTGAGCTGTTATGTGCATTTATTCTGAAACTGCTGCAGTAGGAACAAAATAACTTTTGACTGCTAACACCTTAAGGCCCTTCATCGGCTCCTCTTTCTCATCTTGCACAACGTTTTCAGAATGTGGATGTCAAAATAGTACCATGCAGTGCATTTCACAAAACCTAGGCTCATTACTTTAAAAAAAGAAAAGAAAAACGGCTTTTCAACAAGCTGTGTCCAGCAGCCTGTCAAACCCAACACAAACATTTTTTTTAAACGGAAGGCGGGGCTGGTGAGGTTGCAGTATGGTTTGGATGCAGTGCGCGATTCTGCCGTCACAAAAATTGTGGAATGCCTCCCTTCTCATGCCTTCCTTCCAAAACACTGCCAGGACCAATTCAAGAATCAACGGTAGTCTTTCCTCTCTTGTTTCTCGCTTCCTTGCCCTCACATCTACTTGTAACCTCGCCTTTAAAATGCCCAAGTGCGCTTCGACACGACTCCAGCAGCACCAAGAGAAAGGGGGAAGAGAAAGTGGGCTGTTACTCCGCGAGGGCTTTTCTGGCGGTCGGGGCGTCTCTCCTGCCCGGGCCGCCAGCCTCCCAGAGGCGTGGCCGGTGTCGCCTTTGTGTCCGCCAGCAGCGGGCGGAGTGAGGGCTGGTGTCGCGCCTTCTCCCTTCCTTTCTGCCGCCTCCACTCACCCGCGCCCGCCCTCTGAGTGCGCCGCAGGCAAGAAGAGGCCCGAGCAACTGCGAAGGCGGTAAGGAAAACCAGTCCGCTGTCAGCGGCTCTTCTCCGAGAGCTTCCCCGGAGGCGAGACCCGGGGTGAGGAAGGGGCGCTGGCGGCGCGCAATTACGCAAACAGCGGAATGCAGCGCTTACTTCTCTCTTTCTGCACTTCCCTTCTCTGTCTGGCGCGCCCAGCTCTTGGGCTTCCTTTTCCTACAAGCAGATGTAGCTGAGGGCCCCGATTCCATACTTCCTCGGCAACTCCCAGCAAAGTCCCCCACTTTTTTGCTGCCTGACCTGTGCGCTGGGAAAACTCGGGAAGCGCCTGGGGTTTTTTTGCCCACGCGCAAAAGCGCTCCAGGCAGGCACTTTTTACGCGTCGCCTTTGTGTATAGGTGCGCGGTTGAGTTTTGGACAAGGAAGGGGAGGGGGTGGGTGCGTTGCTAGGTTTTTATTTTATCAGATTGCATGGGGGAGGGGTGGGAACATTTGCTTGTAGACTCAAGAGCGTTTGGCACTAGGCGTTATGTGCCAAAAATGGAAAATAGGGAAAAGTTCAAGGCCAGAGACATCCTTACTTCTCATACAAGTTGGATGGCTCAGCTGTTTAGAGCCTGGTGCTGATAATGCCAAGGTTGCAGGTTCAATGCCCAAATTGGGCAGCTGCATATTCCTGCACTGCAGGGGGTTGGATCCTCGGGGTCTTTCCTAAGTCTTATGATTCTAAGTCGGCAATGAACTACACCTCCTCTTTACAGTAGAAGTTAAGACTTGAGGCAGGGGTGAGAAAGAAAAGCTGTCTAAAAGGCATTGTGGCTAGAGACTAATCCTCACACATTACAGTATTTGTTTTGCGTGTGATCGAGGATGCAAATGTCTGTGGTATCCTAATGTGGGTCGCAATTGCTTATTACATTCTTTTGCGCACTCACACTCGCAGGGTAGTGTAGAGCACTGGCTGGCAGCAGAATGGGTACCTGTTATATTTCTGCCCACAAGTAAATAGCAGCTTCAGGGGGTGGTTTTAATTGAGAGGGGAGAGTTAACACTTCCCCCCATTTCCCAATCCCGATTGGGGCCCCATGCAGTTGCTGTCAGTCCTTAAAAAAATAATAATGTGGGGGATCTCATTCACAGATATTCTACATCACATCTGATTTGGCCTGAAAGAAAGAGCTGTGTATTAGGAAGCTGTTTGCTCAAATTCATCACTATTGTTAGATTATCATTTTGGAATCCATCCCAGGAAGCCTCAAAACTCAAGTTTTGCTCAGAGCTCTTGTGTGGCAGTGGGATAGAGTGCCAACCAACCAGAAAAACAGGCTAGCCCCTCACTGGTTTTATGTTATCCCTCTCTCAACAGTCAGCCACCATTCCGTGGCACACTCATGCTCAGCCCTCATTGCTTTGGTTTGGAGTCCCCCTCTTAGGGTACTTTTTCCATCAAAGTTTTTAGTATGCCTAGAAACCTTGAAGGTTCCCGCAAACCTGCCTGAAACTTCCCTCTTGTGTGTGGCTAGCAGGATTTTGACTACATGAGGATCCACACTTGGATAATTGAGTTTGCCATTAGTACAGTGGTACCTCGGGTTACATATGCTTCAGGTTACATACGCTTCAGGTTACAGACTCCGCTAACTTAGAAATATTACCTCGGGTTAAGAACTTTGCTTGAGGATGAGAACAGAAATCGTGCGGCAGCGGCATGGCAGCAGTGGGAGGCCCCATTAGCTAAAGTGGTGCTTCAGGTTAAGAACAGTTTCAGGTTAAGAACGGACCTCCAGAACGAATTAAGTACTTAACCTGAGGTACCACTGTATACAATAAGCCCGCAACGTATGTGGGAGTTACGTTCCAGGGATAGTGCCTTAAGCCAAAATTGTTTATAGTCAAAACCTATTGGGTTCAGTGGCTGGTGGGACTGCCAACATCATTTTTCACAGAACCTCACCACTTTAAATTTTTTTTTTTAAATTATCAAGTGTGTAAAGTTGAATGCACACAAGTTAAATGTGCATATGTTGCAGGCTTATTGTAAATGAGGATGTAGCTACAGTGGTACCTCGGGTTACATACGCTTCAGGTTACATACGCTTCAGGTTACACACTCCGCTAACCCAGAAATATTACCTCGGGTTAAGAACGTTGCTTCAGGATAAGAACAGAAATCGAGCTCTGGTGGCGCGGCGGCAGCAGGAGGCCCCATTAGCTAAAGTGGTGCTTCAGGTTAAGAACAGTTTCAGGTTAAGTATGGACCTCTGGAACGAATTAAGTACTTAACCCGAGGTACCACTGTACTTTATACCATTACCAATGCCTGGGCTGTCTACTCTGGCAGTGGCTTTCCAAGGTACCATTCAGGTCTGAACCCTGCACCCGATCCTTTAGCTGAGTATTGATCTGGGACCTTCTATATAAAAAGCATGACCTCTGTCACAACAACCATTTCCCCAGAGAGATTTTGCAGAACTGCGCCTTGATACTATCAGTTCTGTGTTATGCTGCTGTCACACAGTGGAAGAACTCAGAGTTTCCAAAATAAGGTTAAGGTTGTTTGTTTAACAAAACACCTTAAAATAAAACAGTAGTTTTCAATGCAGTAGAAGTTGTCGCTTTGAACTTGCCTTGCCATATGCCAGACCCAAGGGTAGCCATTGTGTTGGGTTATTAACTCCCATCATCCCTGACAATTGATCGTGTTGCAGTTTACAGCATCTGTAGGAAACCACACTGGCTCTCCATGTCCTATGCAATAAACGTTTATACAGTGGTACCTCGGGTTACATACACTTCAGGTTACAGATGCTTCAGGTTACAGACTGCTAACCCAGAAATATTACCTCGGGTTAAGAACTTTGCTTCAGGATGAGAACAGAAATCGTGCAGCGGCGGCACAGTGGCAGTGGGAGGCCCCATTAGCTAAAGGGGTGCTTCAGGTTAAGAACAGACCTCAAGAACGAATTAAGTTCTTAACCCGAGGTACCACTGTAGACGCTTCTGGCACAGGGACATTCCACACAGGAATTGCAATTGAAGAAGAGCTACAGAATATTGCAAGCTTGAGTGCTGGAGCAAAAAATCAGCCTCAAGGGCAAGAAGTGTGGGGATACCGAGCCCCTAGTATGAAACAGCTGCAGGATTTTTAACAGACTTTTAGTGGGCACCTTATAGAAGCCTTTAAAGAAAAGAAGTGAGCTTCGGTGTGACATGCAAATGCTCAGTCAAAATAGGCAGGCTTTTGTAGTTTCTGTTCCTCCCTTCTGAAATATCAGAATCCAAAGTCCAGGCTTTCTAGACCACTCCCTTTCTGACAGGTGTACCTAAAGCAGCCCAGTCCTGTGCATATCCTTCAAAGACAGAGATAGGGAACCTGCGGCACTCCCATTGTGATTGGACAACAGCTCCCATAATACTTGGCTATTGACTGTGTTAGTTGGGGCTGATAGGAGTTAGAGTCCAACAGCATATGGAGGGCCACAGGTACCCCCCACATAGGAACCAACTCCTAGAGGCTGTGGTCTCTTCACCTACCCCCAAAAAAATATTTGAGGAGGCTGCGACCCCCCCCCCAGGTTGATGGGCACTGACATTCAGATGGTTTGTGCGCACACCATTTCTTGTGATCAATTATGTACCAATATTTTTTTCAAGTTAGTGCCTCTGCTCCCCACCACAGCTCGAAGATAAGGCCTCTTCTGAAAGCCTGAAAGGCAATGCATATATTTTTAACCTGATTTATCAACCTCTACACGTTACACACAGTTTGAAATTTAGGGACTCCCCAGACATTCTTTCTATTCTACACTCATAGTGATTTGTGTTTGTGATGATGTTGGAGTCATTATACATGATCCTGCTATTTGAGCCTTCAAAAATTTTGGAATGGGCATACTACCGTATTTTTCGCTCCATAGGGCGCACCTAGTTTTTAGGGGGAGAAATAAAGGGGGGGGATTTATTTCCCCAGCCCCAAAGAGCAAAGAAGCCAAGACAGTGAGCGGGATGGATCCTGCTCGCTGTCTTGGCTTCGTTTTTAGCCACGGGGCTGGGGCGGAGGAAGCCCGAGCTTCCCCCGACCCCAGCCCCCAGAACAGGTCCAGGAATGGCGGCAAGATTGTGCGCAACCTCATCGCCGCTCCTGGAGCTTGCGGTTAGCTGCCTGAAGCCCGGGGTGCGCAGCGCTGTGCTCCCCGGGCTTCAGGATTCAGGCTGCTATCCGCAAGCCTTCGGAGCCCGGCGGGAACTCCCGCCGCGCTCAGAAGGCTTGCAGGTAGCTGCCTGAAGCCTGGGGAGCGAGAGGGGTTGGAGTGCACTGACCTCTCTCGCTCTCCAGGCTTCAGCAAAAGCCTGCATTCACTCAATAGGACGCACACACATTTCCCCTTCATTTTTGGAGGGGAAAAAGTGTGTCCTATAGAGCGAAAAATACGGTACTTCATTTCCAATCAGTGCATGCCCTACTGAAACCCTGGGGACTTCTCCTACGACTGACGTTCTGGTGTTCTGCTTGGGTTTTGTCCTGCTTTCACTGCGCTGCAGTGAAAGAGCACCCCATCCAGACAAAAATCAAGTGGTAACATTGGGGAAGCATTGCAGAACAACTAATAAAGCAGAATGGATGTGTGGACAGTCCAGTATGAGTCCACCATTAATACACCAGGACTGCATCAATAAAGACGCCCTTATTTGACTGATTTACTTCTGCCTTTGCCAAGTTAATGAGGCGAGGGAAATGCCGTATCTCTTTGGAAGAGCACATGCCTTGCATTCAAATGTCTGAAACCCTAGAGAGCTGCGGTCCATCCGTGTAATGAGCTAGATGAACCAATGGCAAAACTTTGCATAAAGAAACTGTAAGGCTTCTTTTGGCAAGGTGTGCTTTTGTCGCCCTATATTTAGACAACTGTTTTATAAGCAGACAGCTATTGGAAGATGTTGTTTTTTGGAACATTAGCAATCAAGACAGGCATTTGCATCCATCAGTACAGAGGTAAATGTAGGTATTTCTTCTTCTTCTATCAGGTACAAACTGACCTTCTGCACTGATGCTAGGGGCAAAGTAAACTTACTGAGGGGAAACATGGTTATTTAAAGTAACCCCTCAATTTTTTTAGGGTGCCTGTCTTAAAGCCAGAGGTCATTTCTCAGGAAATGGAAGGGCAAAGGGGCTAGAATGAAATGTTTGGACATGGGTAGGCAAACTAAGGCCGGGGACTGGATCTGGCCCAATCACCTTCTAAATCCGGCCCGTGGACGGTCCAGGAATCAGCGTGTTTTTCAATGAGTAGAATGTGTCCTTTTATTTAAGATGCATCTCTGGATTATTTGTGGGGCATAGGAATTGGTTCATATTTTTTTCCAAAATATAGTCCGGCCCCCCACAAGGTCTGAGGGACAGTGGACTGGCCCCCTGCTGAAAAAGTTTGCTGCCCCCTGTGTTTGGAGATGATTATGAGCTTCATTTCTGATTTTGAGTTACCTGGAAGTGATGGGAGGTAGGGCAAGCAACCAAACAAGCTTCTCACAGCCTTTTTTAAACATTCCACACTAGCAACTGTCTCCAATTTGACCTTTCAGCTGAAATGCCTGATGGTGGTCATGGGGAGACCTAAAATGTGAGATCTGAGAAAAGCAGAGCTAAGGAAGTCCTTTCCCAAAAAGAGGCCGACACTAGGTTTGCTACCTTCATTGCACAATGGTTCATAGAATCAGAACTGTAGGATTGGAGGGGAACCCAAAGGTCATCTAAGTGCAACCCCCTGCAAATCCAGGAATCTCCACTAAAGCATCCGTAACAGATGGCCATCCAACCACTGCTTTAAAACCTCCAAGAAAGAAGAGTCCACCACCTTCCAAGAGAGACGGTTGCCCTGTTGCAACCCGTTTCTCAACCTTGTGGTCAGTCTTTTGGCTGGTTGACTTATTTCAGTTTTGTGACTTCTCAGTTGCAAGTAGAGGCTTCTTTTTTTCCACTTTTTGTTTACAAAATGGCACGAACTGCCAACAGTAAATTGAAAGATTTCCTTTGCACCATTTTTCTTTTCTTTTCTTTTTAAAAAGGGGACTGGGAAAATCTGAACAGGGTCCCTGATCTGTAAATACTGCTTCTGTTTTCCTGACTGCCTGATGTTTCATTAGTTACGAATGTGTCATTAATATGGTGGGTCGGGGCACGGGGGTCTAGGGGGTCTTCTAGGAAGAAGTGAGGGTATGCTGTTGTACTGTACTGTTGTACAGTAGGGGACTCTGAAATGGTTGTATTGTCGCATTGATAATACAGTAATACCTCAGCGAATGTCCGCCCCGTCGACCGTCATTTCGGCGAACGTCCGTGGCAAACCCAGAAGTACCAGAATGGGTTACTTCCGGGTTTGCTGCTCACGCATGCGCAGAAGCACTAAATTGCTCCACACGTGTGCGCAGAGCAGCGCTTTGTCGAGCGTCCGGGGTTCCGGAACAGATCCCGGACTCAAAACAAGGTACCACTGTAGTGCTGAGAAATTAATAAACCTTACATTTTAGAAGAATTACTTTGTCAATATATAAAAACAATGAAGGTTAATAATTCTTTTTTTCTGTTTTTAGGATAGAATGATGTACCCTCTTAGATCAGAGCTGTCAATCACCCCTACATGTTGCAAGCTGTAAAGGGACAGTTTGCATTAACCATGACTCTTCTTGCTACTGCTCTGTGGTATTGCAGGCAACTCTATACATATATTGCTCATTTGCTAAAATGGTAGGTTTGATGGAGTAATTCTTCCTCTGAAGTGCCACTTAAAGTCAATGGGTTAAAGTCAATGGGTGGGAGGGAAAGCACAATCAATGGTCAGTGCAGCCAGATATTATGGTGGGCAGAGTTTGCAGGATTGCATAGTTTTCCTCTGTGTCATCCCACCCCATCCCTTTTCTCTCCTGTGTGCACATGCATAGAACCATGGAACTGTAAAGTTGGAAGGGACCCAAGTATTATTTACACCAGGGATGTCCAACAGGTTGATCGCGATCTACCGGTCGATCGTGGGGCGTCCCTGATCGATTGTCGTCAATCGCATGATCCTTATTGATTGCACACACCACCCTGCAAAAAAAGACCCCAGCTCCTCCCCCCCCCCCCAAAAGCTCAGCAACTTTGGTCAATACAATGGGTAGATCACTGCCTGTTGTTTTTTTAGCGGGAGCAGATTGCAGTCTCTTGGAAGTTGGACATCCCTGATCTAGACAACCCCATGCAGTTCAGCTGTCCCCTACATGCACATACAAACACGCACACACACGCACACACACACACACACACACAGGAGACAATTACCAATTGGAGCAGTCTGGAAAGCTAGAAGTTGGGTGTGCAGTGTCCAGAGATTCAGATGACGCAGAGGGCTGCATAAGTAGGTTTTTCCAGCCCAGCATTAGAACCATGTAACAGCCTTGCTAAAACAGATCATGAGTCCTTCTAGTCTAAGAGCAGGGAACCAGGTATCTCTGCCAGCTTCCAAGGTTTGGTATTCAGAGGTACAAGACGGACCAACATTGTAGTGTGGATTGATGCTGTTCAGCAGTCCAGCTACTCTGCTCCATTTGATTTCCCTCTCAGCTTTCCCTCCATTTTTTAAATACCGTAGTTTTCTGTGTATTAGACCCCCCCCCCATGTATAAGACGCCCCCTGTTTCAGAGGACTAAAATTTAAGAAAGTGGGGGGAGAGGGCACAGAGTTGTTGAATTTTTTTACGCTCACCCGCATGCGGCGCAAAATCTGCCTCTCGTCTGTCCCCTCGCTGGAAGAAGCTGTCAATCGCCTGCCCAATTGCCACAGCGTCAGCAAATCAACACTAGCCATTGACGCATCAACCAATAACACGCCCAATAGCCGCTGACAGCCACAACAGCAACCAATCAAATGTCTACCCTATGCACTACCCACGTATAAGACGACCTCCACCTTTTAGCTTAATTTTTAAAGAAAAAAGCCTAGTCTTATACATGGAAAAGTACAGTACTTCTGCAAATATCAAAATTCCCCCCACCCCAACCTCTAGTGAGCCGGTGCTGCCATTTTGGGTATATAAACAATGGTCCTCACAGCCTGGACATTTGAAATAGAAAGCATTGGGCAGCCTGAATAGCAGTAGCAGGAAATTCCACATGGAGACTCCATTTTGCCATCAGGGCAAATACTTCTTTATAGTGCTTTAATTTTTCCTAATCCTTTCTGAAGGGCCATCTAAGCTAGTGGCCATTTACCATATCTTGTGGTAGCGAACTATATTTGTTTTTGTGTTACACAATGAAGTGCTTCCTTCGGTCATTTACAAATCTCCTGCTCACCAGCTTCCAACAGTATAAATTATTATTATTATTATTATTATTATTATTAAACATTGCTTACTTGATGCAGACTTTCTGATTACTGTTCTTGCTGTTTGGCTTTCAGGTGGAGCAGATACCTGCAGAGAAAATTCACAAGTAATATATGCAGTACTGTGTTAATGTTCTTTTTTGGGGGGCGAATTCATATAATCTTAAACAGATTCATTTTACTAACTGATACCTGCGCTTATACTTAGATAACCAAGGTGTTTCGGCTGAAGCTGATTTGCTTGGCTACTGTGCAAAAGAATGGAAAGAAGAAACAGAGCAGGCCAAACACATGAGAAAGGTAAGACTAAGAATGAGAGGGGTGAGCTACTAATACGGAAATGGACACACTGCATGGATGGCTGAGCAAAGTTCAGCTTGCTTGTTTGGCCTTCGGTTTTGTATGTTTTTAACACAGAATCTCTGCTAAATGCCCGAGATATCAAGATGAGTTTGGGCACCTGCATACAGAACAAAATTCCCTGTTGCAAATTACAGTGGTGCCTCGCAAGACGAAATTAATTCGTTCCGCAAGTCTCTTCGTCTTGCGAGTTTTTCGTCTTGCGATGCACGGTTTCCCATAGGAATGCATTGAAAATCAATTAATGCGTTCCTAGGAAGCCGCCTTCAGACCAGGTCCGGGGACAGTCTGTCCCCGGACCTCTTCTGAAGGCTGGGGGGGCAAGGGCTTTCTTCCCACCCCCAGCATTTTAAAAACCCGGGACAGCGGAGGACTTCTCCGCTGTCCGGGCGATCTTAAAATGCTGGCGGGCGGCATTTTAAAATCACCCGGGACAGCGGAGGACTTCTCCGCTGTCCGGGGCAATTTAAAGCCCCTGGGAAGGCAGGCAGGGGGACAAAGACTTTGCCCCCGCCAGCCTTCAGAAGAGGTCCTGGACCTCTTCTGAAGGCGGGCGGGGCGAAGTCTTGCTCCCCCGCCTTCAAAAGCCCTCCGGGACAGGCAGGCAGGGGAGCAAGACTTTCGCCCCCGCCCGCCTTCAGAAGGTCTTCCCTCCCCCGCCCGGCCCGGAGCACCGTTCCGAGCCGGGCGGCAGCGGAGGTCTTCCCTCCCCGCCCGGCTCGGAGCACCGTTCCGAGCCGGGCGGCGCGGAGGTGTTCCCTCCCCCGCCCGGCCGGAGCACCGTTCCGAGCCGGGCGGCGGGGAGGTCTTCCCTCCCCACCGCCCGGCCGGAGCACCGTTCCGAGGCCGGGCGAGGCGGAGGTCTTCCCTCCCCCGCCCGGCCGGGCACCGTTCCGAAGCCGGGCGCGCGGCGGCAGGTGTTCCCTCCCCCGCCCGGCCGGAGGAGCCTTCCGAGCCCGGCGGCGGCGGGAGGAGGTGTCCCCGCCCCGCCGCCAGGCTCGGAGGAGGTCCGAGGACAGTGGGGAAGACGCGCTGCGCTTCCCGCTGTCCCTGAGATTTCCCTATGGGCTGTCGTCTTGCGAAGCAAGCCCATAGGAAATTCGTTTTGCGAAGCGCCTCCAAAACGGAAAACCCTTTCGTCTAGCGGGTTTTCCGTCTTGCGAGGCGTTCGTCTTGCGGGGTACCACTGTACAATTTCAGCATGACCGACACCTGTGCCATTTTCAAAGCAGGGAGGAAATTATCATCTGTTTATTAAGTTTTCCGTATATACCGGCCTTTCATTCGAGGATGACATGGCAATTTACAGTGTAAAGACACAAAAATATGTAACTTAATAAGAAATGAAGCAATACCCCCCAGTTTAAAAGGCCGCAGGTTGTTTAATTAGCCAAAGCTCTGGGAAAAGAGGAAATGTTTTCACGTGGTGCCTTAAGATATGTAACAAAGATGCCAGATGAGCCTCCCTGGGGAGCTCATTCCACAAGAGGGGAGCTGCCACAGAAAAGGCCCAGTCTCATGTTGCCACCCTACAGACTTCTCATGGAGGAGGCACACAAAGAAGGGCCTCAGATTATGATCGCTGGGTCTGGATCAGTTCATATGTGGGGAGGCGATCCTTGGGGTAATATACTGCAATGCAGTATCTGCCTTGAAATTTGAAATATCACAAAGTTGGCATGCAAATTCAGGACACAGTGAGTGTGGTTCGATGCAATTGTAATCAACGGCTTAGTTTTAAAAGAACAAGTTGACTCATGCCTGCACCCCTTGCTTGGAGGGGGAGATCGAAACCTTCCACTTTTGAATAAAAGATGGTGTTCTGTTACATCCACATTTGAGAAACCGTGCTTAGTTCAAAGGAACCAGGGTCATACTGGTTTCAGATTTGTTAATGAACCAGGTAGACTAAATCACAGGTTCCCACATAACTAGAAACTGGGATTTGGTCAAAAGGTGATGCTTTCAGTCCTCCCCCCTCAGATGCAGAGGAGGAAAGGGGAGCAAAGACTGTGCAAACATACAACTTGTTGCAGCTTGTTCTCCTACGAAACCAAAGTTCAAAATCCAGCGCAGCCCTCTCCCACATCAACAGACTTTCAAAGACTGCATGAAAGATGCAAGCTGCACTACAATGTCTCCCTTGAATGCATAGATTAAGCAATAACATTGAGGACATCGCTTCACAACGTAATTCCACTTCATTCCTTACAGCCATTTTCAAAGGGGAGCAAAGATGCAAAATAGATCATAATGTACTATCCATGACAAGGTCTCCACCTCAAAAAAAGGGATGCTTCATCTAGTAGTACATAGGTTTATAATAAATAAAGCAGAACTCCAACTTTAAAAGCTTCCAAAACATGTGATTTTTGCTGTTGTTGTTACTAGCTAGTTTTCTACTGGTTTATGGCCTTGCCTTGCTTGCTGCCTGCCTGCTTCACCTGTAGCACATAAAGAGGTTTGTTGCCCAAGGCTAGGATATATTAAAATTAGGCTTCAAGGTGCTACAGTGGTACCTTGGTTCTCAAACACCGAAAACCCAGAAGTAAGTGTTCCGGTTTTCGAATGTTTTGGGGAAGCTGAACATCCAGTGCGGCTGTCGGCTATTGTTTTTGGGGCGCCTGCACCAATCAGAAACTGCGCCTTGGTTTTCAAACTTTTCAGAAGTCAAACAGACTTCCGGAACAGATTAAGTTTGGCACTTTTGTTTTTACTATTTATTTTGCATTTTTGTTTTGGAAACTTTTTCGGTTAATTTGTTTTTGTGACTGTGTGGAACCCAGTTCAGTTACTGATCGATTTGATTGTGTGACTGCGGAAATGGATAAAAGCCCCCCATCCAAACAATGACTATCATCAGTGCAAGTAAGGAAAAATAATAATTTTTTTATCACCTACAATACTGTCTTATTTATTTTATAGTACAGTACATTGATTATTGCTTTCATTTTATGGATCAATGGTCTCATTAGATAGTAAAATTCATATTACATTGCTATTTTAGGTTTTTTTAAAAAAAGTCTGGAACAGATTAATCCGTTTTGCATTACTTTCTATGGGAAAATGCGCCTTGGTTTTGGAACGCTTTGGTTTTGGAACAGACGTCCAGAACAGATTAAGTTTGAGAACCAAGGGACCACTGTACTTTGTTCAGTCCCTGAATAATTGGTATCCCCGAGGTGAACACGGCTGTCTAATGGTTAGTTCCCATATATCGCATTGCAGTGAAAGAGACAGAACACAGGAGAAGGAAAATGAAACATCCTCAGTGTCTGGAATCTTGGCCATTCAGGTATTAGAAAATTTGATAAGATGTGCTTTCCCCCCCACCCCCACTAATTAACATGGTGCACAATCCATTGGGAAGCTCTCCTTCACAAGATTCACCGAAAATGTGGTGGTCTTGTGTGAGATAACAACTGTGCTGCTGCGCAGCTCCCATTTGCTTGAGAATTGAATTGGAGGAATTTCTCCCCGTGGGTTGCATTCCAGTGGTCAGCTCTGACTGCCACCCATTCGGCTGCTCTTGCTGATACCCAAAATTTAGCCCCTGACCTTACCTCGTGGTAGAGCTGCTTGTGGTGTTCTCCTTTAGAATGGTCCTCGATCAACTGCTCCAGCCAATCATTTGTCCCCATCCAAAATTCAGGAAATACCATTCCTTGTTAATTTGGTATTTTCTCTCTTTTTCTTTTAAGGCCTATGAAGAGTTGTTTTGGAGACACCATGTGAAATATGTACGGCAGGTCAGGGGAGATAACTACTGTGTGCTGAGAGCTGTGTTGTTCCAGATTTTCAGCCAAGGTATTCCTCTTCCATCATGGACAAAGACAACAGATGTCCTAAAGGTACGTCCTGAAACAAATGATTATATGCAAAGTGAATGCTTTTCTAGTCTATTAGTACATTTCCAAGCACAATTCAAAGTGTTGGTGCTGACCTTCTAAGCCCTAAACGGCCTCAGCTCAAGTATACCTGAAGGAGCATCTCAACCCCTGTCATTCAGCCCGGATGCTAAGGTCTAACTCTGAGGGCCTTCTGGCGGTTCCCTCACTGTGAGAAGGGAGGTTACAGGGAACTCGGTAGTGGCGCCTGCCCTGTGGAACGCCATCCCATCAAATGTCCAGGAAATAAACAACTATCTGACTTTTAGAAGACATTTGAAGGCAGCCCTGTTAAGGGAAGTTTTTAATGTATGATGTTTTATTGTGTTTATAATATTCTGTTGGGAGCCGCCCATAGTGGCTGGGGAAACCCAGTCAGATGGATGGTATATATATATATACACATATACACACACACACACACACACACACACACACATACACACACAGTTGTACCTCAGGTTAAGTACTTAATTTGTTCCAGAGGTCCATTCTTAACCTGAAACTGTTCTTAACCTGAAGCACCACTTTAGCTAATGGGGCCTCCCGCTGCTGCTGCACTGCCGCCGCACGATTTCTGTTCTCATCCTGAAGCAAAGTTCTTAACCCGAGGTATTATTTCTGGGTTAGTGGAGTCTGTAACCTGAAGCATATGTAACCTGAAGCGTATGTAACCCGAGGTACCACTGTGTGTGTGTATGTATAATTATTATTATTATTAATGTAGTATACATAGTTCTTCCCCTTTCTGTTTTATCCTCACAACAATCCTGTGAGGTAGGTCAGGCTGAAATCAACTAGTGAGCATTATTGCCGAGTTGGGATTCTCCCAGGTCCCAATCTGACACTGTTGCCAATTGCACCATGCAGACCGAAATCCTAAAATTCCCACTGAATTACTCCACTGGTTATGTTCTCTTCTGTTTCAGCTCCCCGAGAAACTTCTTTATTCTCAAGGCTGCAACTGGATCCAGCAATATAGTTTTGGATCAGAACAGTACACGGGCTCCAATACACTGGGAAAATTGCGTAGATGCATTGAAACGTTGAGAAGTCAGGTGAGTGGGAAGGTATTAGCAGGATGGATGGATTGCCCATTGTCACTATAAACTATTGCTGTGCTATGGATGAAATATTAGGGCCACAACCTTACATATCAGCCCATTGGTCTATTGTTAAACTGTTAAGTTGTGGGTGAACATATCAGATGACACAGCGATTCTTCAAACAGCTCTTGTTTATTCACTGGCCAGAACAGAACTGAACTGAAGGGTTCAGTCAGCCTGCTTATATAGAGCTCCAGTACAACGTAACTGTAACAATTTCCTAAAACTATCCAATCACTGAATGTCACTTTCGATCCCTTATTTGCATAACTATCTACAGTATCCCCCTGCTGGCCCAGGGTGAGAACTTCAGTACATAACACCCGTCCCCACCGAGATAAGGCGTTAGTTACAGTCGTAATGGTTTCCTTATATACAGCATTACATGTAATGGTTCAGTTAGGCACAAAAGCATATCGGTTACATTTCACATACTTCCATTAGACCAACAGTGTAGTGCTGTATATAAGGAAACCATTACGATTGTAACTAACGCCTTATCTCGGTGGGGAGGGGTGTTAGGTACTGAAGTTCTCACCCCGGGATATCAAACAGGGTTTTCTCCAAGCGTGAACTGGAGGTGATTGGGATTGAACCTGGGATCATCATACAAAGCAGACGTCCTACCACTGAGGAAATGGGAAGGAGACAATTGAGGCGCAAGGAGGCAGAACATTCAATTAGTTTAATCTGTAGATCAGTTAACAGAAGCTCTAGTCAACTAATTAGTGGGGGTAATCTAATTGGAGAGGGTACATTTAATATTACAGGCCTGAAAAATAGAATTAAAATACACTTTTTGATGGGATGGGGAGTGGAGTTATTCTTATTATTTTACAGTTACTGAAGAAAACGTTCACACCTTGTATCTCCAAAAGGCACCGCATTGAGTTTTTAGTGATGTGCAAATTTATTGAACCGATGTGGTTTTTAAAAGCGGGAGATTAAGTGCATCAAATAAAGGCTTGTCTCAAAGGGCACCATTTGTTTTTAAAGCTTGATAACCCACCTTTAAGGACAGCTACTCAGAGCAGTCAGTGGCCGAGAGCTGAGTGGCTGAACCACAGGTGTTTCAAGCTACCTTTTACACCTGTGAATCACCATTATCTGTGTGCAAGTGGGACCTGTAACAAAATCTTGCAAGGTACAAAATATTTACAGTGTTCCAGCACATCTCTTCCACAGTATTTCATTTCATTCCTTCTCCCCACAATTTTCTTTTCTTTACTTCCGCAGCCAGTTGGCATTCCATGACCACCAATCACGCTCAGTCCTCTCAGGGCCATTTTGGGATTTATTTACTTTTTTGCCACCTTAATAGTACAGTGGTACCTCAGGTTACATACGCTTCAGGTTACAGACTCCGCTAACCCAGAAATAGTGCTTCAGGTTAAGAACTTTGCTTCAGGATGAGAACAGAAATTGTGCTCCAGCGGCGCGGCGGCAGCAGGAGGCCCCATTAGCTAAAGTGGTACTTCAGGTTAAGAACAGTTTCAGGTTAAGTACGGACCTCCGGAACGAATTAAGTACTTAACCTGAGGTACCACTGTATGTTCTTGTTTTGGTATTCTGCTGTCCTTGGGCTTCACTCAGCTTGCTGGTGCCTTACTTCTACTCTTAGTGCCTAATTGGACCAGAATTCAGAGAACTTGAGTTTGCTGTTAGTATATACAATATTAAATACGTCAGCTAAAAATAAAACTGCTACTTTCTATTTAACTGTTTTATTCCTCAAGCTAACTTTTTGCCCCCACCTCTTCTGCTTTTTGTTGTTCCATGCATTATAGTGGATGGAAGTCAGTAGTATTAAAGACCCATATGAAAGAGGGAACTTGTGCAACGCCCTTTTTGCTGATGAAAGTATGGAGCACAAACTGTACGAGGCCATAAAATTCATCATGCTCTACCAAGTAATAGAAGTCTACGAATGCTTGAACAACAAGCAAGAGTGCATCCCAAGTTTTTTTAACCAGCTTTTTGTACGCGATACCTCCTTGGACCCTTTGAGCTACATGATGAATCATCTGAACGCCATAGGGGAGAGAAGAGGCCTCGATCAGGTAAATATGAGCTGGAAAAACTAAATCCAACGGTTCTGTAGCATTCAAGAAAAGCTTCAAATACTGCAGTACTTGGATGTGTTAATGCAGCTTTGTCTACACCAGGAAAACAAATAATAGGGCAAGCTGTGTGCAGTAAAAAAACAGATTTTTTCTTCAAGAGGCAACCTGAATTGTGCTTCTGCTTCTTCTATCTCTACTAGTCACAAGGAAGGGACAATAAATATATGGGCCCTGAAGCTTCATCTCCTGAGCAGTGGAAACCTTATTTGGCCATATTTATTTTATCTGAGATTTCACAAGACATCTCCCATGCACTTTCAAGCCTATCTTATTTGGCACTTGGATTAGTAACTGTTTTCTAAAATGAAGGAGCTCATTTTCTTTCTTAAGAAATTGAATTCTACTCTTGTCTGAAACATATATCTCCATCTTTACCTCAGGAAAGCTTACAGAAGCTAACAAGAGAGTTAGAAAACCATAAATTAACAGTTTAAATCATCCCTTGCGAGGAAATAAAAGAATATAGCAGCATTTTTAAAGTCCAGAGACAGTTAAAGCTACTTCAATAAAACAGCAATTTATAACCCTAATGGAATCTCACCAAACCTTCTTACAATGTTTATCATTCACATACACGTTTTTTCTCACATCAGATTTAAATTTCCAGAGGTGTATCAGTCAGTTTCATGAGTTTTAGTAGATATTCCAGATATAGAATGCCACCCTACATGTCACGGATAGAACAACAACAAAAATAGGCTTGGGATCACTTATCATGAAACTTCTATTCATGGGTTCCCACTTGTTTTTATATGGTACTTTTCTTCACTGCCTTTAAATGTCTGAGTTACATCTTTTAATTCCAGACATGACTCCAAATCAATGTCGACAAATTCAATTTATTATGGTTTGCTAGTGTGTAATTCTCATTCTTTTCTGCTTAACAGGTCGAATTGTTTCTCCTTGGGTATTCTCTTGAAGTCAAGATAACCGTTTACAGGTTGTGCAAGTTTAATTCAGCCGTTTCCCAAGAAAGCTACACAGACGTGTATCAGAGGGACTGGCCAGAAGTTTTTCTTCTTACTGAAGATGACCGTCACTATCACATCCCTATTATCAGGATGTAAATCTAATTTCTGGGGACGCTGTCAGAACTGCCTGCCATCAGATCCCCCTGCTGAAGAACCATAAAATATCCAAACTTTTTTTTAAGAGTGACTCTAATGCCAGGCTTAAAACTATGCATTTCTCAGCTTAAGCTGCCTCACAAGTTGTGAGGGTAACATGTTATAAGCCCATATATTCCACTCTCAAGGTCCCACCAGCAGCATATGCCTATTGATAAACATCTTTGGTAATGGCACAAATTGGATGTGAGGGTCAGTTCACACAATATTGGTTTTGTGTGCTTTTAAAGATCAAATCACATTGGGTGTATCACATAGACTTGCAAACTAATAGCCATTCCTTTTCCCCAGGGAACTAGCTCTGTGAGGGAACTGGGAATTTGACACATAATTCTCAACAATATCACCCACTTAAAATTTGCAGGGAAATCATATAGTGGCATTGCTATAAAGCCGGTATTAAGTTGGTAATGTAAATAGGTGCTGTGAGGCTGTGATCTATGGACAGCTCAGTTTTACTTGTATCAGTCAGTATCGATTGATATCTATACAGTCTCCAGTGTGGCCAGTTCTGCTTACTTAACAGAAATAAGGCCCTGCATTGGGATTGCTGAAAGTAATAGTATATCAAGTCCTTCAGAAACATCACAGTATTCTTTAAAGCCACTTACTTGCTTTGCAGTTAAAGGACCTTGTCATACATCCCATTGTAAAAAATAAAGGGGGGGCGGTTACCATTGACTATACTTTGAATCTTGTCTCCTTAGCAACCAAAGTTGTTTGCACATGTATTTTCCACATTTACACAGTTCATTCTGTGCAAAATAGTCCACAGGCAACAATTACATTGGCTCACAAAAATATGGCAGACAGATGTTGGGTTGCCATCTGACAATAAAGATGCTGGGAAGAGCTATTTGTGTTAACTCTGCTCAAGCACATCACTTCCACTGCCTATAGCTGACCCAGAATGCCATGGGATTTGATAGGTCATTACTGCCAGGATGGTTATGTTGTATTAGTTTTGAATAGGATGCCTTAGAATAACCTATGGTAAAATTCAGAGCATTGCATTCGGCCAACATCAGAGCTGTGCGAAAGTTCCACATTCTGTGCCAAGAAAAGGAAAAGCCTGCCACCTAAGTAAATTTGCATAGTTCTGTGATTTGCACTGTACTGTATGCTTTTTTCTGGTTTTGCCTGCCATTTAGAAAGCCAAAGAGTTGCGCAAGGCACTGCTGCCATATCGCTAGCCAATGGAAATCTTATTAAACTGCCCCGATGACTGCCGAAATCTCACCTGCAAACTTTCAAACATACATTCATAGCCATAAAAATTAGTAACCTACTCTTTATTATTATTACTTTGAAAAAGCTGAGATTCTCATACTGCTGAATTATCCAATCAATGCCCCTTTTTGCACTCCTTGCAGTCATATGGAGTCACAACATATACAGAGCCTAGGCCGTATTCTTTTTTAGAAAGAGTAATTGTGACTATCTCAAAGTAATCACTGCAGTACCTTATTCCTCTCAAAATGTACTTAAACATTTTCAACTTGCATTTTTGGTGAAAATGTTAAGCCTCTGGCTTTGTAATCCTGAACAGATTTCATATTGATTCATTTCTTTGAAGAATGGTTTGTAAATCACTTGTGATCTTTACATCAGTGTTGTTTAATCTTCCTAAGAATAGATCATATTAAGCACTGTGTGCTTTTGGTAGCAGAGGCTAAATTCGTTCCGTGTTGTAGAGCAAATTTCTCTTTCTAGTTTGTGTATATATGTGTTGCGCAAAACCGTAATATCAAAATGAGTTGTCGAGTATTGTAAGTAAGCTCCGGGAGTTGTGTTGATTTGATGTCTTCTGTGACTTTGCAAACTTCAAAAAATCTAGAACCCTCCACTTGCTTAAATAAATATATTTATTACTACAGCCTTCCACTCCTCACGTTGCTCGCTAACTCTGCCAACCCCACATCTCATCGACTCCACTACCACAACTCTCTGCTACATTTTGCCCAGAAATCTGACCCACCCAGTTACTTGCCTTGCCTTACTCTGTTGTGTATGCATGCAAATGGGCAGGCAGGTGGTGGTGATGATCATGGGGAGACTGTCTAGGCCACCTGCCTGCTTCCTTGCTCTTCTAGCCTGCTTCATGATGGCTCCAACCTCTGTTGTCCTCGTACAGTGCATATTGCTGCGTAAAGGTAAAGGGACCCCTGACCATTAGGTCCAGTCGTGACCTACTCTGGGGTTGCGGCGCTCATCTCGCTTTACTGGCCAGCGTACAGCTTCCGGGTCATGTGGCCAGCATGACTAAGCCGCTTCTGGCGAACCAGAGCAGCGCACGGAAACGTCGTTTACCTTCCCGTCAGAGCAGTACCTATTTATCTACTTGCACTTTGACCTGCTTTCAAACTGGTAGGTTGGCAGGAGCAGGGACCGAGCAATGGGAGCTCACCCCGTCGCGGGGATTTGAACCGCCGACCTTCTGATTGGCAAGTCCTAGGCTCTGTGGTTTAACCCACAGCGCCACCCGTGTCCCATATTGCTGCCTACTGGCAGCCAAAACAAAATAATATTTCTTGCAGTAGCAGCATAGAGACAAACTAAGTTTGTTATTGGTATGGGCTTTCGTGTGCATGCACACTTCTTCAGGTTGGCTTCAGAAGAAGTGTGCATGCACATGAAAGCACATACCAATAACAAACTTAGCTGGTTTCTAAGGTTCTACTGGAAGGAATTTTTTAATTATTTTGTTCCAACTATGGCAGACCAACACGGCTGCCTACCTGTTACTGGCAGCCACAAATGACCATTTTTTCCCCTTACAAAAACACTGTATAGTAAGATAAACTTACACATTCATTTGCATACTTTTGCTAATACTACACTTCTGTTTTGTACTTGATCACTGTAAACTCTATCTAGCTAAAACCCGACTTAAAAACAAGGAAGAAAGGGAAAAACAGAACTATACTTATTTCCCCTCTGGAAGGCTTGAGGCATGTAGCAAAACTCCACAGATGCACTTTGGGGTTTGTTTGTTTTTTAGAACACCCCACAACAGAATCAAATTTCTCTACCCATTGAAGTTAATGAACATAACTAAGGTTCATTCATTTCAATGGCTCTAACTTAGTGATACACAACCCAAGATACAAACATAGATATATACAGGTAATTCACATCTTTTGTGGGGGTTATCGTGTGTATAAGCAAAATTATGTAAAGCCAGGAAGCCCCAAGACTGCTCCCCAACCCCTGCAAGATGGAGGGAAGGAGGCACGAGGGCTCTTGAGAGCGTCCCAAGGCCATTGTGCCACATTTCCAAAACTAGGTAAGCTTCCGATTGCAGCTCTGCAAGATGTTGGGGGAGAAGAGAGATAAATAAATGGAGAGTGGGTTTCTCCACTCTTCATTTATTTATTTCCCACCATCACACATGCAAAGCTGCGGTCACATAACTAAAATAAACAGAAGTTGAAAGTTACCTATTCGTTTCACAGTCGTTAGTTACATGTATTGGCATAGGATTCTTGATGCGATTAGCTATAAAGCCTGAAACAATGGCGAAGCAGCAGCATCAACATTTTGAATCTCAATTGACGGCCTAGCTTGTAAATCTGTGTCCGACCGAAATAATCTGGGTATCGGCCCACCAGTGAAGAGCGAACATGAGGGAATTGGCTGCCTCTTGCTGCCATGAGGGAAGAAGTAGCTCTTCCGTTTCTGACAAACCTATATAGCTTTCCTTCCTTAAGCTGAAAGCGTTTAAAAACCCAAAAGTTTTGAATTTTGTATGTCTGGAATTCCAAAAATTCAAATTCATAGCCCTCTTTACCTCCCAAAGCTTACCTCCTAGGCCCTTGCCACACCTTTTTGGGCTAGTTGGTTTTAAATGGCCACGGTCCCTTTTCCTTTGCACACTTCTCTCAGTACTTTTTCCTACAGTCACAGGTTTGTTCTGTCAGCATCCACCACAGTTAATCCAGAAGTGGGTTATTTGCCGCCCACAGCAGGAGATAAATCAGCAGCATCTGCCTCCTAGCAGGTCTGCATCCACACTGAGCCAGGTAGCCTCAGAGACACCTTTCCTGTCCCTCTGTCTCCACGGCAACCAAACTCCCCACATTATTACATACAACCTGAAGGTTCAGGGCCCAGCTTTAAGTGGGGAAGGCAGTAGCAGCTGTGAGGCATTTAGTAAACAGGGCAGGTGATGACTAGGAAAAGAGACGAGTTAAAGGGCAATATACTCAATTCTCCCTACTCTCTGTTCATTATTTAATTTATTTATATCCAGGCTTTTCAGCTGAAGTGCTCTAAGCGGCTAACAGCACTTACAAAACACAACAGAAGCACAAACATGCTGAACTGAAGCAGGCCCTAGTGTCCTCGCCTGCCAACTTTCCTCCTCCTCCTCCCTTTTGTTTCTCACATTTTCATAGCTTGCTTTTCACCCTCCCGACAGACACAACGCTTCAGCAATCCTTGTGTATTCTGGCTGCCATCTAAGTGCAAAGGAAATGGGGTGTTTTCCCACTTTTAACCATTTCTTTCGACATTCCTCTGTAGGAGTGCATTTCTTGTCCCGTAGTTAAGAATGGCACCATTTCAACGTTAGAGGGCAGCAGACAACCGCCACATGAAGAAAAACTGGCTTTTAAAAAGATAGTGACAGTTTTTGAACCTTTTTGTTTGTTTGTTTGTTGTTGTTGTTGTTGTTGTTGTTGTTGTTGTTGTTGTTCCTTCTAGCAGCCAAAAGTAAAATCCTGGTTCTGGCTGATGTAGCCCAAAGGTAAAATAATGGCCACTGTTCCTTTAATGTAGCCGAAAGGTAAAATGGGAATATATGAGCACAAGTATCTAGCTATGAATATATTTTCATAACTAGAGTAATAATTTGCCTGCTGCACTTTTAATGGCTAGGCCAGGGCTTTTTTTCAGCCAGAACTTGCCCCTTTCAAGTAGGTGCCATTGCCATTAAAAGAGAACAAGGGAGGTGTTCATGGTGAGCTCTTTTTCTAGAAACATAGAACTAAGCTGGAGGAAACGGCAACAGCAGTTTTTTTTTTTTAATGGGTATAAATTGGTGTCACCCAGTTGACCATAGCTGTCAACTTTTCCCTTTTCTTGTGAGGAATCCTATTCGGAATAAGGGAATTTCCCTTTAAAAAAGGGAAATGTTGACAGCTATGCTGTTGACCCAAGAAATGGGGGAATTATATAGAAAGAAAGAATTTCTGAAATCAATGCCTTCTTTAAGTTGACCTCTTAGCAGTGTGGTCGGAATTGCTGGGAGCAAACACTGAGAGGGTAAGCCTTGCACCACTTCAAGTCTGGAAGTAGAGAGGTCACATCATTTAATTGGTCCTCCATTCAAAAATAAATAAATTCTCCTGTGGTGTATGTGTGTGTAAACATTGAGAATCATGGTGGCAACTAATTTTCCAGGCTGCCCTCTCCGAGGTGGTGATGGCAGGCAAAGCTTCTATTACTCCAAGTGACTTGGGGTGGGGTGTATCTAGAGAGACAACTGATGTAACATGCATTTAGAGCAGTGCAGTTGAGCTGCCTTTGATGGAGGTTGAGATATTGAGAGGTGCGATGTTGGCAGGAGCAGCACAGTTGTCAGCTAACCCATTGGTAAGTTCCCTGATATGTGCCCCATGCTATTTCTCTCCAGAAATCAGGTTTATTCTTTAACTCTGCACACACTATACATTTAAAGCACATTTGAAGCACTTTCTTTCACTCTTAAAGAGTTCTGGGCACTGCATTTTTACCCCCCATGAAATTACAATTCCCAGAAACCCTTAGGAAACTGTGATGCCCAAAATTCTTGCAGGGAGCAGGAATGTGCTTCGAATGTGCTTGAAAGTCATAAGGAACTGTGATAGTAAGTACCAGGAGTACCAACTTTGCCACGCGAACATGGGTGTTCAGGGCCATGAATGCCATGCAGTGAGCTTGGCTCTGGCACTAAAATTTGTGGGTGCCTGGCCCCTTCATGGGGAATTTTGTGGGTGCTCAGGCACCCAGAGTCCCGGAGAGTTGGCACCTATGGTAAGAACTGCATTATCAAGGGCAAATGGAGCCACCAAAAAGTATTCCTCTAGCCAGACCCTTTCCCTGCTGTATGACTGAGCACCAAACACTAACATCAAGGCAAACCTTCCACTATTTTAGGTGGGCAATTGCAACATAATTCAGTATTTACCCAGGTGAGCTGTGATTCACTTTCAATCTACAGTCATTATGCCCAGCTGTTAGTCCTCTGGCTGTTCTGAGAAGATTGTTCTCATCAGAAGGCAAGTTTAAGGTTGCAATCCTAAAACAAGTACTGGAGCCCCATCAATACAGTGGAATTTGCCTCTGAATAAACACACATAGGATTGCATTGTAAATCGCTAGAACACTTCTTAACTGCTTTTCTCCTGCTACTACCCCTTTTTTCTGGTCACTCCTTGTTTTTCTACTCCTCCTCTTTTGGAAAGCCTAGTCCCAGAAGCCAGTCTTCAGAAACTCTAAAAAGACAAAACTTCTTTGCACCAAGAAATAAACTGTAGGTTCTGGAAAACTAAGCATGGAAGTAAAGATTATGGGGCTCTTCACTTTAACTCACTGTGCCTGTTTTAAAGATCTTCTAAAACACAGTGATCTTTCTCTCTTGTGTACTCATCTTTTTTTCTACAGCCAACCCAAGATGTATTTCCTTTCACCCATGTTACCAGCAGGAACCAAAGCATGTTATTAACCAATTTGCAAATAAAACACGCCTGTCTGCAAACACGCCCACTGCGTGGCCAGGTTTGAAAATGCAGCACTCTATTTTTATTCAGTGTCTCTTCTCCCGTTAGGAACCTTGGGGTTGTTTTTTTTCCTCCTCCCCCACAGACCTAAAGGCATCAAAGCCGAGAAATGGACAGTCTTTTGCCATAGGTTTGCTTCCTCGAATGGATTTAGCATTTCTACTGATGCTCTGCAATGAATGGAAAACTAGTAAGGGCAATAAGGAAGAAGTCTTAGCAAAAGTAATAACGAGACAAGGTGTCCACAGCAGAAATTTAGTTAGGAATATCATGAGTCATAGACATGGAGGAGGGAGGAATTTGTGGGGGACGCGGGGGACGCTGTGGGTTAAACCACAGAGCCTAGGGCTTGCCGATCAGAAGGTCAGCAGTTCGAATCCCCTCGACAGGATGAGCTCCCGTTGCTCGGTTCCTGCTCCTGCCAACCTAGCAGTTCAAAAGCACAAACTGCAAGTAGATAAATAGGTACTGCTCCGGTGGGAAGGTAAACGGCGTTTCTGTGTGCTGTTCTGGTTCGCCAGAAGCGGCTTAGTCATGCTGGCCACATGACTCGGAAGTTGTACGCCGGCTCCCTCGGCCAATAAAGTGAGATGACCGCTGCAACCCCAGAGTAGTCCACGACTGGACTTAACAGTCAGGGGTCCCTTTACCTTTAGCCCCCTCAAGGATATTAGAGGCCCTTTCCTTTAATTTCCAACTTCCTTAAATAAAAAATTGTATGTTTCCAGCCCCTGTCCTTGTGTGCAAGAAGAAATATTGTTCACTAAAAACTGGCGCTTCCTCCGTTTGAAAGGCCACCCACTACTAATCCAGTTCAAAGATCATAGAATTGTTGGAAGGGATCCCAAAGGCCATCTAGTCCAACCCCCTGCAATGCAGGAATCTCGGCTAAATAGATTCAT